CCACCATCGTCACCTCCTTTATCACGCGGCAAAACACCTCCTTCATCTCTACCACAAATTCAAAGCAAAACCACCACCATCACCTCCTTCATCACGATATTTCTCATACCCACAAATAAAGTAACAAAAAATAGCAATAACAATGGAGTCAATGTGAAGTTTGTGGTTGAGAAGGTAATGAGATTAACTTGGAAAAAGCAGAACCTAGAGATCGTGAAAAATAATGGGTAATTACCGGCAACATCGTGATCTGGGCGTGCCGATTGGGATGCGATCTGGCTAATCGCGACCTGGGCGGCGCCGTTTGGTCTCGATCTGACCAGATCGAGGTCGAGCAATGCAACCATGGTCTGTCTTGGCCTCGTAGAAGTTGTCATGGTCTCCCGGCAGCCGCCGTAGCCTGCTGCATTTTTTCTTTTATTCTTTTATGTGAGGGTTTTATGTTTGAACAAGATTAGCCGCAAGTTCTATGTAGTTGAAAATTTTGACTGGAGAATTGGAGATGACGAACGTGGTGACTGGAGAAGACAAGTGCAGTGGCGTTGCAAAGGAATTGGATTTTGTTGTAATTAAAGTAATGAAATTAATGGGTGCGTTTGGATCATTTTTTTTATCCATATTTCCAATCTTATTGTCTAAGCAATGTGTGGCACATTATTCCAAAAATATTACTCTATTTTTTTAATTACTTTTAAATCCCATAAGATTATTAATTTCATTAAATATCCCATGAAAAAAAGTTTAAAAATTAACAAAAACACCCCATCAACCCATATTTGCCAGATTCCAACAACCACTATCGGTGGTAGTCTGAATCTGTACAACAGCCTACCTGTCGACCAAAAATGGTCAGAAGTTTATCAATCTGGCCATCAGCGACGGCCAAAGAAATGGTCATCGTTAACTGAAAACGACCGTCAAAGATAGACTTCTTTTAACGTTTTTCGACCATCGACGGCAACATTTGGTCGTAAATCTGGCCTTTTCCAGCCAGATCCGTGGTGGATCTGACTAGAAAAAGCCATAGCGACGCATTACGGCACTGATTCGACCGGTCTGTGTCGTAATGAAATTTTTCGGCCAGATTCCGGCGGTGATGGCCGGAATCTGGCACTGCAGGTGGTGGGCGTGTTTTTATCATTTTATATATTAGGGTCTTTAATTAAATTAGCAAATCTAAGGGCTTTTTCATAAGTTTTTAAAGTTTACCTCGTAATATTTCCCTATCCAACAACCAAATATTATTCCCAAAATCCTATCCAAAATAATGAACCACACGCACCCAATAATATTAATTTATGATAAAATGGAATGCTTGGCATATAAGGCCCTGCAGGAGAGATGCAAAAAGAGCTCGATTAACCCCCTCCTCTAATCGAGTTTGAGCCGAGCTAGAAAATTTCAGGCTCGTCTGGCTCAGCTCGAACTCGTCCTAGATATAACCGAGTCGAGTTCGTTTAATCGAAAACTCAGCTTAACTCAACTCGATTACAGCCGTTGTGATTTATTTAAATTTGGGATCAAGATTGACCCCACTAAGTATATTTGGCTACGCCCTGTATCTAACTATACAAATATGATGAACTCCCCAAAATTCCATTAGTTAGCTTGATAACACGAGTAATACTACACTTACAAAGATCTCCATATAAAGTGATGTGTCAAAAATTGAATGGAAGAGTGAATTTAATGAGTTTAACTTTTTGTTTTACCCTTCTATTTATTTTTTGTCACCTCACTTTGTATCAAAATCTTTGTAATATTTATTTGGAAGTATATTATTATTGTAATAATATAGTAAAATATGAATGCTTAGATACAATATATCCACATTGTTTTCCGTAAATTCACACAAAATAATAATAATAATAATAATAATGTATGCGTTTGGTTTAATATTTTTATCCCTATTCTGGATCCTATTTTTCAAATAGCGTTTGGTACAATATTCTCAAAATATTACCCTATTTTTTTAATTACATTTTAACCCCATAAGGTTATTAATTTCACTAAATACCCCCTGAAAAAAA